GAAAGTGTATGTAAAGTGGACAAAGTTTATTTGATAGTTCAGGAGATGTGTGAAAAGAGTGAGAATGCAAAATATGTCTATACCATTTTTTCTCTTTTTTTGCTAAGTTAAGACAACTTTGAACTAGGAATCTGCAGGGGCAGAACATCGAATGCCATTAGAGATGATGTAGAAGCTTTTGAATGCAGTAATATCCTGTCACCAGTAAATGACTTCAGACTGTAAGAATATGATATGGCTTGAATTATTCTGCACCTACGGACTTTTGTGATTAGTTATCAATGAGATCGCTCACGTGCATAGCCTTTTTAATGACTATGCCACCTATGACCATGTGTTCTGTGTGCTGTCAGTATTCATAGCGTTTGAACAGTGCAGAACAGTGATCAAAATGATGACACGTGAACCAAAACAGAACTGTTCAAGTTAAGAGGGTTTTTTTAAGGTAGTGGTAGCCCTTTCCCCTTAAAAGGGAATGACCTGATTTGTCTTCAATATAAGCTAAATTTAAAATCAAACACTTATTAGCATAAAGTGCACACATACATTCATTTCTAATGTGCAAGTGAACACAATGAGGGCTTGTGAGATTTTTTCCAGCATATTGGAATGGAAATTAAGTAATGGATGTTGTAACAATTTTCAGTTATGTTTAACAAGCTTCCTTGGAAAGAACAGTAACTGCTGACTGATATGGTACCAATAGAATGAGCCTGTACTCGCTTAGAATTTAATGGCTTTTAGAATTTAAGGGTCTCTGAAGCGTTACATATGTTATTGTATGTACAAGAGGTAGAGTGCTCTAGCCTTCAGAAATACACTTCTACTCAAAATTACAAGCCATGGAGCTTGCTGGAGAAGTTACAAAAGTGTCCATTTTCACTTGCTTGTAAAACAGATTCCCAATTAGAAAGGAAGCAGCTTTGGCTCAAACTATGATGGGCCACCAAACAGTGTGGTATGAATGAAAGGCAGTATTTAGCAATGATTCTTATACTCAGTCATTTGTCACTGTCAGAAGATGAAACTGTGGAAAAATTAAACCCTTCAGTCCGACTCAATATTGAGATCGTACTCAGAACCTTGTAATTTGGAAATATGTCAAGAGTACCTTGAATTTCCTCACACGACTGTCATTTGAATGTAAAAAGCATTATACAGAAGAAAGATGAACGTAGCAAATAATAGTTTTACACGATAGTCCGGTTAATGTTTTCAGTATAGCACAGTTGTGAAATTGCTGCACAGTATTAAAACGTTCAGATTGATGGCAGTGTAGGAATACTACTAAACCATCTTAAACCAACTTTAAATTACTTTTTAAGGATGAAAAGGTCTGCCACTGCTGATTAGAGATTTTATGGTGTCATTTGGTACCATTTGTTGTTATCTGGTACTTTTATGGTTAATTGAAAGCTGCTATTGAAATACACTATATTGCCTATCAGGACTGATTATTACAGCATTTGCACAAAAAATACCACAAACCATACAAGTTTTCCTCCATCAAAGAGAGAATGACTGCAATAGTTATGTAAAAGTAAACATTATGTCATAATTACTGTTTTCAGAATTGTGAAGTATAAAAACTGTGGGTAATATTATTTATTTAACGTGCAATTTTTATGTAATTCAGTGCCAAAATGCATGTTTTTCCAAATAGCACTAAAACGAGGCAAAGAAACTGGTTTTCAAATTGCGACTTACTTGTCACATTATAATGTAAACCAATTTCAGCATTTTCGTTTGTTTTGTGTGAAAACTGTTGCACTACTTTTGGCTGTATTTTCTAGCAGTCCACTGCATGCCATTTGTGTACAGAATTCTTTCTATAGTTCTTGTGAACTGTCTCACCCATAAGAACCCTGGCATTGGAATCTAGGTTTTTGGCAAAGTATTTTGTTACCTCAGTCTTGTATCAAGTTGCTGTGTTTTTCAGTTTGTTACATTGATAATGATTGTTTCATTAATTAAATACTTTAATGTAAAAAAAATTCGTTTACTTCAACAGCAGTTGGATTTGGTTGTAAGTTTAAAAATGTACAGAGTATGTATGCTGTTAACAATAAAATATTCAGAAAAAGAATAGTAGAGGTACAGAAGGAACATTTTAGCTCAAAGGCAGCAATCATGTTTTATTTGTGAATGGATGGTAATACAGCATAACAGATTTTATAGTGCATAGCGTGTAGCCATTTAATAGTATAAATACAGCAGAATCAAAATTTCTGAGATAAAATTGAAAAACCCTCCAAATTTTCAGTTTCTTTAAGTGGGATTTGGAAAGTCCAAAGAAGCAGAGAGAAACGTAGATTTCTTGGCACTTAAACTCAGCAAATTTGCAGATCACATCGAGCTGAGGATGCAGTGACACATCTGAGGGACGGGGCCATCCAGAGGGACCTGGACGAGCTCAAGCAGTGGCTGAGGCTGAGATATTTCTGATGAACAGACTGAGAGCAACCCTGGGGAGGACTTAAGGGTGCTGGTGGGTAAGAGGCTGGACATGCCCCAGCCACATGTTCTGGCTCCCAGAAACTCCCTGTGTGCTGGGCTGATCCCACAGCATGGGCAGCAGGTGAGGAGAGGATTCTGCCTCTCTGCCCTGCTCAGGTGAGACCCCACTCGCAGTGCTGCCTCCAGCTCTGGAGTCCTTGGTATAGGAAAGACATGGACTTGCTGTAGCGGGTCCAGAGAAGAGCCACAAAAATTATCCTAGGGCTGGAGCACCTCTGCTGTAAGGAAAGGCTGAGACAGTTGGAATTGTTTAGCCTGGAGAAGAGAAGGCACCAAGGAGACCTTATTGCCACCTTTCAAGTACTTCAGGGGGGTTTATAAGAAAGATGGGGACAGACTTTTTAGTAGGGCCTGTAGTGATAAGAGAAGGGATAATGGTTTAAAACTAGAAGGTTGATTCAGACTTGATATAAGGAAGAAACTTTTTGTGATGAGGACAGTGAAAAACTGGGTTGGTTGGCCAGAGAGATGGTGGCTCGCCCATCCCTGGAAGTGTTCAAGGTCAGGTTGGATGGGACTCTGAGCAACCTAATCTAGTGGAAGGTGTGCCTGCCCATGGTAGGGGGCTTTGACTGTGTGATCCAACTCAAACCATTCTGTAATTTTATTATTCCATATTCAAGGTAAATAAGCTTCATATTATGACTGGCAATGAAGGTCCTTTAATTTCTGCAGAAACATAATTTCATTTGCCTGAGAGAGAAATTAAATGTTACCTAATGTGAAGATGAGAGCAAAATAAACTAATATAAAGTTGCTATTTTTACAGCTGAAAAAGAAAGCATATATCCTTTCGCTAAAATGGACTCTTTTTCCTGTTATACCCCAGAAACAGGAAGAGTGTTTAAAGACTCTTTTATTACTTGGTAGTCTTAAAAATAAGTTGGATCTAGACAATTTTCCTCCAGGTCATCTCCAGTGTTTAATTGTAAATATTTTATCAAGGAAGCATCAATAAGTGTGTCTCATATTTACCAAATGGTTCTTTTCACTAATAGCATCAGTAAAAATGGAAAAATTGATTGGAATTATTCTCCTTCCCATAGGTAACAGGATAGAAAATACACAAAGGAAAGAAGGGAAAAAAGTTAGAAAGGAAAACCAACAGTCACAATATCCAAGACTGACATTGTTATGGAGTCAAATTACAGGGGGGAGAGAGGACTACTTTCTGCATTGCAGTTTTCACTATAAGGTAACATACTTTTGTCATACAACACCCAGAGATGAGTACTGAAGAGCTTATGAAATGCTCATCATGTCCAAGCCTCTTGTCTTGTAACCTGGGAGAGAAAAAACAAAAGGAAATATTAAATAACTTTGTTCCTATGTTAGATGCCAGGCTGTGCTTAGGTATGCAAGGAATGGCACTGGTTAATTGCATTTATTTTTCTTCTGAAATCGATAATGATGTTGCGGTATTTCCATAGCTGTGACCTATTACTCTGGAGATTTGTTTATCAAATTTGGAGAATATACCAGACCTTTCCTTGGGGGGGTGTGAAGGAAAAAAAAAGTCGAAGTTCACATGTCTCAGTAGACCTCAGAGGTAAGAGCAAGTCAGATGACCACATTAGGAAGGATGAAAACACCCATTTTGCGTCAATTAAAACACAGTTGTGCTAAGGAAGTGCAGATAGTAATGAATTGGAGGAAGTATCTTTTGTATTTCTGGACTTCATCTATAGCCGTGTTCTTTCTGCCAGAAATCAGCTCTTCAGCTTCAAGGAAGAATAGGCTGGGGTGGGGGTTGTGTTAGGGTTAGGGTGTGTTCCAATGATTACTTGCTTCAGACAATCCATGCTTTGGGTTTGCAAGCATGTTGTAACTGAATATAAAGCAAACAAGCAAGGTCAGAAAACAAATAGATTTCTTCTCACATACATATAGAGAAAAATCCATCAAATTCTACAGAATAAAAGTAGCAAATAACCAGCTAGGTAAGCTATTTTCAGTATAATTTGTTAATTGACACCACTGTCCTTATAAAATAAAATAATTTCTGAACAAAAAGGGACACCCTAGAGCCCTGAAAATGCTGAAAGTTATTTGTAACAAATGGTTACCATTTCTTGTAATAATACAAAACTGCAAAATTGAGCCTGTCTGACATGAATGCAATGAATATATAACTTGTTGAACCGAATGTCATACTCTCTTGCAGGGCAAAGAGACAAAAAATGGAAAGCAAGGAAAGGGGCAACTAGCTGGTGCAGAAAGGCGAAGGTTTCAAAAAAACCCACAAAACAACACTTCCTTTTAGATTACAAGGTGTTCTTTGCTGCTTTCAAGTACAGCATACTTGGAAGTCCAACTAGTCCTGTCTGCATTGTTTAGCAGTGCAATTGTTTTAATTCTTTCAACAACAGGGAGAAGGGGAGGGGAATAGTTTTTATTTCACCTACCAGCCTCCAAGAGGGTGCATTCTTAACTGCTGAGGAGACTTGATTTTCAAATCCTGAAGGTGAGTTTTTACAGGCTTTTTTTTTTTCCCTGCATATATTTATGGAAAAGAGAGGTGATGTGGGACACACATAGACACGTTTGAACACAATTCACTCTTGGGCTTACACTGCACTGCTGACTTTGGCATGCACTGTGAGGGGTGTAGGGCTCCAGGATCACCAAATGATGATTATGTTTGAATTTAAAACTTTTCTAAATTTGCTGAATTTTTTAACTGAGAGAAGGGGGAACAAGAGAAGAAAGGGCCTTAAGGCTGCAGGGGAGGGGGCATTGATGTTTTTATTTTTCAGTTATTATTTTGTAAATCTTTCTCATGAGCTAATTTCCTTGCCTGTGCTTTAAGGTAAATGGCCCAAGTAATTCTTTGTGTTTTTAAGTGAACCCTTTGGTCTCCCTTCTTACCTGTGCCTGAACTTCATTGTTTCTCTTTCACCTTTTACTAGGCAGAACAAACAGAAATTCTCAGTGAACTTTCTGTTTCCACAGAAACACTGGAAACTTGTCAGTGTACTTCGGGATGTTTTTTAATGTGGCCAAACATTCCCCTCTCTCTAGTTAATTAACGATTAATGTAGCCACCAAGGAAAGCTGTGCCAGGAATGAGGGACATATTGGTACGAAGTCCAATTGGCAGTGACCTGATTTTTTCCTCCAGTTATTTATACTGAGTCACAAAGAATCAGACTGAGACACCTCTTGCTGACTTCTGCTCTTCCCTCAGCTTAGTAAACTCCTGATATCACAATGGGGGCCAGAAGAAGAGCCTTCATAGAATGGAAATTTCAATAAAGAAACTGGAAGTCAAAGGTGAGTACAGAAGTTTGGAGTAACCTCCATCTGTGAGGTGACACAGTTGCTTTAGAAAAGGAGGAGTCCAGGCATGAACACAAGCCCTCTGGAAAATCCATGTGCAATGGTGCCCAGGGCAAATTGATGCAGCTCTGGCATTGTGGCATGGGTTTATGAAAATAAATGCGAAGTCTTAAAGGCAAAAGACTTTTTCTAATAATTTTTTGGTTTTTCATAGTATTGGTGGTTTGTTGGTTTTCTGATATTCTTTTTTCTAAGTAACTGGCCTTTATTATAAGCATATATGTTGAGGTTTTGCACCTCAGTTGAAAAATACCTTTTTAAAGCATTCTGTCAGGGCCCTGTGGGTACTAATTGCCATAATGGCCCTGACCAGCCCATCTGGCACACCCTCCATGAGCCCAGGATCCCATTTAAGCTCAGCTCTGGGCCCTCAGCCCCTGCCTGAGGTCTGCCCTTTAAGGCTCAGGCCCCACAGACCCTGGGGTCCAGGCCCTGACAGCAGGTTGTCTCAGTTGTGGTTTTGCATTGTCCCCCGGGGACCCTGAGGATCAGCTTCTTAGCTTGGCCTCAGACCTCTCTCATCCCACAGACTTTTTGGGTGGTCTTGGGTTCTGGGGGAGGGAAGGGAGTTGGCTGTGACCATGGCCATGGCCAGTCCTGCTCTCCTTGTCACGGTACCAAGAGAGTGGGTCCTGGTTTTTGAGGCCTCTTCCCCACCAGTTTCTTCCCCGTGAGTCCTGCAAAGAGAAATTGAGAGGTTTTCTCTCTAAATAGCTAATAAAGCAGACAAATCCAGCTTACTCCCCCCAAAAAAAATAAATATTTCTATTCTTTTGCATGTCTGCTCACCCAGTCTGCACCTTCATTTAAGTTAATGTTTATGTTGGCTATTAATACAGGTCCACCAGCCAAGCAAGTGTTGACTCAAATTATATCTATCTACTATTTCAAACACCTGCTGTGCTAGATTAATTTGATGTGATTAAATACGAAATTTTATTTTCTGGTCTCATAACTGTGCACACAATTTTGTATTGATTTTATCATTATAAAGCTAAAGAGATAATCTTGGCAGGACTAAGTTTACCAAAAGCTCCTCTGAAAAACACAAGGGGCTATTTAAGATGAAACACATTAGGTTACAGTTGATCTAATGGGAAATGTTTAAATCCTGATCAGAGAAATCTCCAAGTCAAATTTGTTTATCCTGAGAAAATGACAGAAACAGAAAGCAAGCTAATTTGCTGTACAGGAAGTTAACAGAGTCACGGGGTTTCCCCACAGACAGTCAAAAGCATTAGTACAATTGTAGAGGAAGCAGATGGGGAACACGCAAGGTTGTGAGGTCCCTCATTTCAGTGGAAGCAGAATTGGAGCACTGGAAAGCATGAAGTACTACACAATGAGGCTTGAAACTGTGAGTAAATATACTATCGTTTGATTCCTCTGATGTTCAGAAGTGCATGGTTTTGTGCATTCTGGTGAAATATCAAGACTGCACATAACAAACACAAACTCCATTTTTTTTCACTTTATGTAACAACTGAAAAATGCCGCGGTGTTGTCTTAACTATTCCAGGCAAAATGGGTGACAGTGTTTTATAAAACTTCACTACAACAGTTATTAAAAGCAAGGTTCTTTTTTTGGTGTGTGAATAAGTTTCTCCAACTTTGTTCATATAACACACCTTGCAGTTAAACACTGTCTTCCGGTTTCTTCTCTGTACTGCAAGTAACCTAAGCAAACAGAGGAGGTCCGGAGTGGCTAACGTGTTTTAAAATTCCTCTTTTGAAGAGGAAAGATAGTTTTCAGTTTCTAAACACAGAAAATATTTTCTTCGGTAACAGAGACCACAGCGATATCAGACAAGTGGAAACAGTGCTCATTTGTTCCTTACTGGAATGCCATCCTATATGAAGTGAGGCTTTGACAATATATGTTCGTCTGAACAAAGGAAGTACAAAGCAGTACAATAAGTTTCTCTTAAGTCCTCGTGTATAATCCTTTTCAGAATGACAGTGGCTTTTTCTGGTGAGAAATTATTGCTGTGACAATAGTTGAAATGCTGCATTTTTTAAAGATCCCATCCCATCTGAAAAGAGAAACTTAGTGTTTTAATCACCTGGTTCAGTGGATATCAGCTAATGGTTGCAGCCTGTGGATTCCAAAAGAAGTGGCACAAGCCTGAACCCAAAATCATATTTCATATTTGGGAACTGATGCCATCCCTTTCTTGAAAAATTTGTGTATCACCTAATATCCCTTTAAACAGGCCAAAATGAAAGACAGAAATGGGATGATGCTCAGTAACCACTGGAGCTTACCAGAAATTAAGCAGTTATTTGATGAGTAGGTTATTTAAACAGAGTATATGGATCTCTGTGTGTCTCTGTAGTTGTATAGACTTCTAAGTCCCTGTGTAAAAACGACTTACTTGTTTCTTTAGTGTCCCTGTCTGTAAAGTTTTACTCACAGTCACCTTTCATGCCCTACAAAGCCCCTGGTTTCTAATTCGAATGCTAGTCTACTTTTTTCCAGATCAAGTGGATAATAATGCTGTTGGCATGCTAAAACTACCGATTGATTGTTTGAAAACAAGTTATTGGGATGAATTTATATTGCCTAAATTGGGTAAGGTATACATACAAAAAGTGAAGAGAAACAATAGCAAAAGTTTGTTTGTACATAGTTCAAAAAGGAGCAGGAGATTGCTTCACCTAGGAGACCTGAGGGACAAGGGAACATTTGAGTGAACTTCCTGCTTTGCATAACTTGTGCATAAAACTAAGATGGAGACTTCTGTGCAGAAATATGTACAGGAATTGCTCTCTTTATATTGGCTAGACAGTAGTGGTGTTCCAAAAGGTAAAGCATATTTTAAGATTTGGTCTTTATTACAGGAAGACACTACTAGTTTTCTACTATTTCTTAAATCTTAAAAATGCAATTTTCCTGTAAGTTTCCCAGGCCTAATTTAACAAGAATTATTCAAGGCATATTGCTTCCTGTTGTAAGATTGACGGTTGAAAACATATTTCACCAGAACAGTGTAAGGATTTTTTGCACTTAGCATCTGTATAAAAACAAAGAAACAAATGAACAAACCTGGATCCTGTATTTCTGCAAAAAATCATGACAGACATTAGAACTTTATTATCACTTTGTTTCATCTCCCCCTTTAGTAAATTTGTCCCATCTCCTATGCAGTAAATCATCCTCCACAGAAAAGTTTCTATCATGATGCTCTGGTTTTCTCTACCTTCTTCAGTCCTTTTTATGCTGAGGACCCCAGAGCTGGATGCAGTTCTCCAGGTGGGGTTTCACGAGAGCAGAGCAGAGGTGGAGAATCTACTTTTGATGCAATCTAGGACACAGGCTTTCTGGGCTGCTAGTGCACATTGCCAGGTCACGTTGAGCTCCTTGTCCAGCAGCACCTCCAAGACCCTCTCAGTCCTACTGAAATCAACTGCCAGTTTAGAACTGTGGTCTGAGACTTAGCATCCCTAGTGGCAGAAGCAGTTTACACTTACGTAATCTCAGTCGCCTTATCAAATGAAAAGATCCTAGACAGTGTTGAATACCATAGGATCCTACTAGACTCCAAAACACATTAGGCTCTGAAAACATTTTCATTGTGACTTGGTAATCAGGACACTAAGAGACTGTGACAGGATCACTCATACAAATGCAGTTTGTGTTCACAGCACCTCTTTAGGAAGAAGAGGGGAAAAGATAATTCTCCAGTTTTACAAACTTCTCAGAACATCAAATGATAAAGAATGTGAGTTCTCTCAAACATAAAGTTTCTTCTAGGCCTCAAAGTGATTCAAATTACACTATATTACCATTACTATGTATCAAAACAGCTGAACCTGTTGCACTGCGCCCAATTATAGAGTAAAATATAACAAAGCTCGGAATGAGGAGGTGTAAGAGAATCTCTCACTGTTTTCCAAACCTTTGTGAGAAGTCAGCTCTTCATACTAGATTTTGAAGTATCAAAACAGTAACAGTTGTATTTGAGTACAGGTCCAAACAAAACATTACTCCTTTTTGGCAAATCACTAAAAGTGCATTTTTTGTGTGTTTGTTTTGTTTTAGAGAAAGTGAATTGAAGACTGAGTATAAAAGTCTCTTAATTTGCAAATTGTGAAATTCAGCAATGATACACTGTGGAAAAAAACATATATGTGCTGTTGTTGCATGTATTCTTATTTTTGCAAGCATTTTAATCTGCTACTGGAAAGATCTTCAGCTACCGAATACAATAACTAGAAAAATCTTCCCCCAGGCAACAACTGCCAGTCCAACAGGTCA